ACCACTAAGTAGGAGTTGATAACGGACAGGTTAATCATCCTCATGCAGGGGTGCAGCGCTGAGCGATGATCCAGGCACCCAGGTGAGGTGCTTCCAGGGGCTGCCAGCGCGGGAGACCCCAGGGACAGCAAAGGGCATGGGAGCAGGGGGTGGGAGAAAGCAGGGGAGGGGTCCCCATGTCCCCACCACAGTACACACCTGGGTGGGAGAGGCTTCAGGCCAGCCCCCATCCCCTTGGGACCAGGATGCCAGAGTCTACAGAAACACTGGGAGTGGGGGGACTTCCCTGGTGGCACAGTCGTTAAGAATCCGCCTGCCAATGCAGGGGACACAGGTTCGAGCCCTGGTCCGGGAGGATCCTACATGCTGCGGAGCAACTAAGCCCACGAGCCGCGACTACTGAAGCCCGCGTGCCCTAGAGCCAGGGGGCCGCAACTATTGAGCCCGTGCACTGCAAGTACTGAAGCCCGCGTGCTAGAGCCCGTGCTCTGCAACAAGAGAAGCCACCACGCTGAGAAGCCCGCGCACCGCAAGGAAGAGTAGCCCCTCCTCTCGTCGCAACTAGAGAAAGCCTGCACACAGCAACAAAGACCCAACACAGCCCCAAAATCAAAATAAATAAAAAATTAAGAAATTTAACAAAAGAAACACTGGGGGGCAGAGGGGAGTGGGGAGCTGTCTGGAGCCTGGAAAGAGCTTTGAGCTGCCTTCTCTGCCCCAACCCCCAGCCCCAGCCCCCTTCGTCAGCCCGCAGACCCTGATGGCTGAGGTCTCCCCCAGGACTGTTCTGGATCTGAAGTGGGTATGAGATCTTCACCATCTATTCCTTTGCCCATCATCACCAAGGGCTTTGTGACACCTTGTTTTGAAGAAAAGGCAGCATATTCTAGGGCCAGTCTGGGAACAAGGGAAGAATTCATCATGCCTCCCTCCATCCTTCCACCCTTCCATCCATCCACCCATCCCTCCATCTATCTATCCATCCATTCCCTCCATCCACCCACCCATCCCTCCATCCATCTATCCATGCATCCATTCATCATCCATCCTTCCATCCCTCCATCCACTTACACATCTACCCATCCATCTGTTCATACATCCATCATCTATCCACCTATCCATCCATTCCACACACCTCCATTGAGCACCAGCTCTGAGCCCAGTCCTGTGCTGGAGACAAGGATGCAGGAAACACAGTCACTGCTCCCAGAGAACATATGGTCCAGGAGGGAAGAAAACATGGACAGAAGCACAAGACAAAGACACAGAAGAAAGGCTGGCTCCTGCTCCACGTCCCGTGGGGACAACTGGAGTTACTGGTGTTATGAAGAGAAGATTTGAGGGAATTGGCAGCTGTTGCCAAACCTGTTGGGTACCCACCGTAACAGCTGGCAGCAGAGAAGAAGAACAAGAGACGGTGATGAGCAGTAAACATGTTACCAGGCCAGCAGAGTATAAATCCCGGCGGCTGAAGGATTCTTGGGGCAGGGCCCTGGAGGGTCTACTGGAAAGGCGGGTGGTGTGATTGCTGCATGGGTGCTTGGAACTGTGTTCAGGAGGCAGGTGGAGTTCACATAATGGGTCACAAAGTGGTCTGACCATAGGAGCAGGTGGCTGGTCAAGTGGGTAGGTTGGAGGTCAAGTTCATCAGAGAGCAGGTGGATGGATCACCCACCTGGAAACTGAAATCACTGAGGATGATAAGGGGAGAGGGTTAAAGAGGGATGCTGTCTTTGAAGGACAGGGGAGCCCCATTTTCAGTTAGAGCGAGGTCAAGGTTCAGACAAAAGGTGTAGGATATGGCGGTGTCGTGGCTCAGAAGGGCACAGCTGGAGCGTTTGTGGGGTCAGGGGGCCATGGGGGAAGGGTCAGAGAAGGGATGTACAGAGCCGCCCAGGCAAGTATGGCCTGGGAGGCTTGAACGTGACCTACAGAGGGAGAAGCAGGAGAACGAGGCACGTCTCCAACAGCTGAGTCAGCCGCCCCTTAAACACACTTGCTCCTGGAAGCCGACCCAGCCCGGACGCCACGGCCCCCAAGGTGAGCACTTTGCTTTGCTCAGGGAGGCGTCGCCCAAGCACAGCCTCCCGTTGCCTCAGCAGGCAATGGAGGCAGCCAACTCCTGCGACACAGGTCGAGGGCTCCCCCAGCACTGTGTCTGTCTGTGGATGGACACACCTTCGCCCTCACAGCAGGCAGGGAGGGGCTTCTGCTCCACGTGGAGTCCTCAGCACCCAACCCCGGGCCGGGCAGGGCGGGTGCCCCGAACTGAGGCAGAAGGAGTCGAGTCGGCAGCTGCTGAAAACCAACGTCCAACCTTGGGAGATAAGCTGAGGGGCAGAGACGGGCCTCACCTGGAGCGCCTGCTCAGTGCCAGGCCTGCTCTGAGTGCGATTCACTCACTGAAAGGAAGACTTCCTATTCTGACACGTAGAATGCACACCGAGGGGTGTTTAAAATGTGGGCACTCAACTGGAAGAATGGTGACAAGACACACCCCTGTGCTCTGCCCGCTTCTGCCAGAGGGAAGCCATCTTGGAAGTCCTGCACTGCAGATGGGGCAGGCTGGGTCCCTGCATCACCACCTGGACAACTGCCTGCTAATCAGGAGCATCTGCCTTTCAGATTTGAACAGGGGGAGGAAGAAACATCTCTCCTCTGGGGGCCTTTATGCACTTTGTTATACGTATTTTCTTATAGTAGTTAGCCTAATGTAACTAATAAACAGGATAAGTGCATTAACTGTTAACAGCCAAGCGGCTGGGAACTTGTGCTTGTGACTAAGATGGAGTAACAGGCACTGAATTTACCCTTTCGCCTGAAACAACTAAACAACTGGATAAAATATATGAAACAATGGCTCTCAAGATACTGGACGTGAGGCAGGAAGGACAGCAGATCACCTTAATTCCAGGCACCTTAAACCCTTTTCTGGAATAACACAGGCTACGATTTAAAACTAACTAAATAGCATACTCAGCTGAGAAAAAGACTGAAATAATGCCATTTGCAGCAACATGGGTGGGCCTAGAGATTATCAAACTAAATGAAATAAGACAGAGAAAGACAAATATCATATGATATTACTTATACGTGGAATCTAAAAAAAAAAAAATGATACAGGGACTTCCCTGGTGGTGCAGTGGTTAAGACTCCAAGCTCCCAATGCACGGGGCCCAGGTTCAATCCCTGGTCAGGGAACTAGATCCCACATTGCCACGGGGCAACTAAGAGTTTGCATGCCACAACTAAGGAGCCCGCCTGCCGCAACTAAGACCCGGTGCAACCAAATAAATAAATAATTTTAAAAATAATAATAATAAAAATTAAAAAAAATTTTAAATGATACAGATGAACTTATTTACAAAACAGAAATAGACTCACAGACATGGAAAATGAATTTATGGTTACCGAAGGGGAAAGAGGGGGGAGGGATAAATTGGGAGTTTGGGATTAACAGTTATACGCTACTGCATATAACATACATGAACAACAAAGACCTACTGTATAGCACAGGGAACTATAATCAATAGCTTGTAATGCTTTAAGCTAAGGGAACATGCGTATTCATGAGGGGGCTTGTGCGGGAGGAATTTAGCATAGAACTGGGGCAAGAGTCATCCTAGGTTGACAGTCCAGGTCTTAGTTGATTGAAGCCGGCAAAGATCAATATCGTCCATTCTCTGGCTCCAGTTAGTCTGGTGGCCAATTGTCCGAGGAGGTTCGGACCCTGTAAAAACAGCTCGAGAATATGTATCAGAATAATCTTTACCTTTGAAACAGAACTGGGAGTCTTTATGACTGATTTAGTATCTCCGATACGGTTAAATTATTTTCCTGGCCTGGAAATAGCTGTTTGCTCTTACATTCTTTTTTTTCCTTAAAATCATTATCTCCTGAGACGTGTTCTTCCGCAAAGGCGGGCATTGTGGCCAGGCTTAGATTACAACATGGCCTACACCTAAAGTGGCTTCTCTTATGTCAAGAAGCTATGCCTGGTTCTCTTTCTTTGGGGGTCTCCCTTGTCCCCCATCTGCCTGCACTCCCTCCCAGGCACAGTCCAGCGTCCTTACCAGATGGACTCACCCTGTCCCTTCTCAAACCATCAAAACACCTAGGGTGCCTCTCTACCCGACCCTATAAGCTACTTGAGGGTCACAATCCTCTTTCCCCGTTTCCTGCTCTTCCCCCAGGGCACTGCCGGGCTCACTGGTCCCATCAAATTGGCTGCGTTCAATTTTGCTCGATTTACGAAACAGCAGGTGGGAAGAAAGGAAACAGGTACACAAGTATCTCTAACATAGAACAAATGCATGGAAGATAAGCGGGATGCAGTTCAAAGACAAGTGTTGGGGTGCCAGCGCTCCCTGGGTCATGGGGAAAGCTTCGGGGGGACGGGAGCGAGAAGGCCCAGGACCCCTGGGGCTCCCTGGGCCTCCGCTGTTTTCCTCTGACAATTGAAGGAGTGGGCTGGGTGGGTCTGGGGTTCCTGACAGAGACACTGACGCTGGAGTGCCGAGCAGAGGCCACCTTCCAGAGACGATAATGACAAGGAAGGCTCAAGACCAAGGCAGATGACACAGAAACAATCTAAGGTGCGGCAGACACGATCCCGATTTCTGAACTGTTTACTCTTTCTACGGAGTCGAAGGGAAAGGGCGCTCCGGTCAATCCGGGCTGCGGGGCCAGGGCTCTTTTCTCCACCAAGTCCGCAGCGACCCCGCAATCCCAGCTAGGGCAGCCCTAGCCGCAGTTGGCGGCTCCCTTCGTCATGAGGCCGCGGCGTGGTTGCCTAGGAAACGCCCCCGTGCCTCCGCAGGGCTCCCCGGGCCTTGTAGTCCACCGGCCGCCTCTCTTGGGCCGGCCACGCGGGGAGAGACTACAACTCCCAGGAGGCAGCGCGAAGGGTCCTGGGGGCGGGGCGGGTCCTGGTGGGCGGGTCCGGGCTAGGGCCTTTTCCCTCCCGCAGCTCCCAGGGTCTCTGCGTCTGGAGGAGGAAGATGGCGTCTCGGAGGGCTCGGACCTGGCTGCGGGAGCTCCGGCCACCGCCGCTGCTACTGTTGCTGCTGCTCCTTGGGCCGTGGCCGGCGGCGGGCCACGGCGGCAAGTACTCGCGGGAGAAGAATGAGCCCGAGGCTTCTGCGAAGCGCGAGCCCGGGGGGGAGTTCCGCATGGAGAAGCTGAACCAGCTGTGGGAGAAGGCCCAGCGGGTGAGCGGCGGCCGGGCCCCGCTACCTCGGGGGTCCGCGGGGCCGGGCTTCCTTTAATCCTGGGATCGGCGGAGCCCGGGCCGGGGTCTCTTCTAATCCTGGGGTCCCCGGCGCCCGGGTCTCCTCTAACTTCGGGGGTCTGCGCGGCCGGGGCCTTGAGCCTTTGACAGCCTCACTCCCGCCCGCAGATGCAGGTGTGGGTACCCCATGCCTTGCGCCTCCGGGAAGGGGGACCCTGGCCTGGTGATGACAGGCGACGACTTGGGAGGCCTTGGTGCCTGGGCAGAAGGGCCGCCCCGCCTGTTTGAACTGGCAGCTTCGCAGCTGAGGCCGAGATCCCTCCCTGCGGGCAGACCCAGGTCTCCTGCCTTGCACGTTTTTGCCTTTTCTCCTACGTTGTATTTCTCTGTATGGAGAAACAAGAAAAACAGGTGACGCTGAGCACGGAGACAAGCCCAAGGACAGCGGAAATCCTAGAAGCAAGCCAGTTCTTGTTAAATCGGGTGAGGGGATATGGTGAGGTGAGAGAACACCCGAAACTTAAGACGCTAGTGAAGTAAATCTAAATCCGACTGTCCTCATTTTAGAGAAGAAAGCAAGAAAGCCCAGAGGGCAAAGGGCACCTCCAAGGTCACTCCGCCTGGGGGTAGAATTGGGACTACAGCTTGCTGCTTGGGGTATGACCTGGACCCGTGGCCTCCTCGTTAACATAGCGGCCCCTCCTTTGTTAGGTGGGGTTTGTTTTTAGTGAAATGGGTATTTACAAACTTCCCCCAACCCTCTGGGCCACAGTGTCTTCATGAGATCCAGTCTTCCAGTTTTAAGCATTCCTGAGTCCTTAAGAAGAGTAAAGCAAAGTAAGGGCTGAGTTTTGGAAGAGAGGGGAAACCGGCGGGAAAGAAAGGCGGGGGGAGGGGTAAGTGCTGGGGAAGGGATGTGGCAGGGGGACTGCAGGGCAGGCAGGGACGGGTGGATGCCCCCAGGCCCAGCGCTGTTCCCAGACCAGTGGCCCTGAGGATCCTGCTGGGGACCCAGCTGTCAGGGCCCACTGTGTGTGTGCAGCCTGCCCGGGTAAGAGAGAGCACTCTGGGCTGGAGAAGCAGCGGGGGGCTACCTGGAGGAAGGGGACCTTGTGTCCAGGAACCTGCCCTGAGCCCTTCTGCTTGCAGGGCTGTCCTGGTCAGCCCCGCCTCGTCCGTTCAGATGCTGCTCTGCATCTACCCAGCCTGGGCAGCCTCTTCACACCTCCTGGCTGTCACCTGCCCTCGAGCTGCACCCGCCTGAACCGCCCCACCCCCCCGCCCCCATGCTCAGTTCACTGCTGATCTGGGCAGCCTCAGGTCACATCTGTCCGAGAGAGTCTGAATCGGTTCTGCAGGAACCCCAACCCTGCCCCAGCCTTGGACGGACGGGCCTTGGACTGGATGACCTTTCCGGGCCCCTTGGCCCTGAATTCTACAATTGCACGTACAGGTCTCTTCTGCTGAACGAAATGTGCAGACCTTCCAGGGTGGGGTCCATGCCTGTTGGCATTTTCCAGGTCCCTCCTCACATCCGGATGACTCGCGTGGGTAGGCAGAGCCACAGAATACAAGCTGGGCTGTCCCGGGCCCTCTAGGCTGAGAAGCTTCAAGGGCGGTGGCAGAGCTGGTCCCGGGTGGCGAGCTGTGCAATCCTCAAGCGGTGCCGGGCTGGGGTGGGCACTGCCGCTGCTCAGAGCCGGTGCCCAGGGCGGTGTGGGGCACCCGGCACACCTGTGCCAGGGTTCTCAGCCTTGGATAATTTGCTCTCTGAAAACATCAAGTGTTTCTTTGTTTTCTAAACATGAAACGATCTCATAGCATGTCATGCCTAGCGTGTACCCAGGGTGAGGGAGAGGAGTCTGATGAAGGCGCCCGCCGCACCCTCTCTTTCCAGCCCACCTTCTACGGGGGTGGGGGGCAAGTCCCGCCTTGGTCCACAGATGCCGTGGTAGGGGGCCTCCGCACCGTGAGACCAGACCAGGGAACTGCTGTGTTGCTTCATCACAGCACAGCATCTCCAGTCTTGACTTGCTGTGAAATTGTGCAGTTGCCTTTGATCCAGGCGCTTTAGAAGAGCCGTTGGCCAGACGGCAGGCACAGGGTTACTTCCAGAGCCTCGAGGGTCTTGTGACCTCTCCCGGGGTGTTGCGAGGCTCCTGAGCAGGGAGGGGCCGGAGCCGTCCTTGGAGCTTTGCGGGGTGGGTGAAGCCGTGGGAAGTCGTCCCAAGGGGGGCCCCTGTGGAGATGTCTGGTTGGCATCTCCCTCCAACCAGACATCTCCACAGGGGCACCCCTTGGTGCCACACATATGCATGCGCATATGTGTGTTTGTGTGTGAATTATGTCTTAACCCCTCTGTCCCTGTGTGCGGCCTTGTTCTCTGCATCCAGGCACCACATCCTGTGCTCCAGGGAGGACTCAGGGAGGGCAGGCCGAGCGACCAGGAGTCACCTGTACACCAGGCACTCCTGTCCCTACAGCAGCTCAGAGGCGGGCAGGGCTGTGTTCTGTCCTCGGGGCTCCTTCGCGGACTTAGAGGTCAGAGTGCAGAGCTATGGCTGCAGGTCAGGGCTTGCGTGGACGCTGGTTCCCAGAGACTTGTTTTGGTTTTTTAGTTTTGTTTTGGTTTTTTACCGTTTTTTGAGGTATGGTTGACCTCCAAAAAGCTGTACGTATTTAATGAGTTTGGAGGTAAGTGTACATCCCTGAAACCATCACCACCATCTGTGCCATAAACACACCCATCACCACCCAGAGTATCCTCCCGCCCTCTACTTCGTGCGTGCGTGCGTGCGTGCGTGTGTGTGTGTGTGTGTGAGATAAGAACTTAACGTAGATCTACCCTCTTAGCGAATTTTTAAATAATAAAGTATATGCCGTGTAATAGTGGAGGGGCCCAGAGTATCCTCCCGCCCTCTACTTCGTGCGTGCGTGCGTGCGTGCGTGTGTGTGTGTGTGTGAGATAAGAACTTAACGTAGATCTACCCTCTTAGCGAATTTTTAAATAATAAAGTATATGCCGTGTAATAGTGGAGGGTGTTGCGCTGTGCAGTGAGCCTCGGGACTTGCATAACTGCCTTTGTGGCCTTTGACCCGCACCTTGCATCCCCTCTTGGCTGTTGTGAATAGTGCTGCAGTGAGCATGGGACCCCAGATCTTTCTTCAAGGTTCTGATTTCAGTTCCTTCAGATAAATACCCAGAAGTGGGCTTTGCTGGATCACAGTGTATTGATGGTTCTCGTCTTCATTTTTGAGGAACCTCCGTACTGTTCTCCACAGTGGCTGCGCCAATTTGCATTCCCACCAGCAGTGCACGAGGGTTCCCTTTTCTCATCCTCACCAACAGTTGTTGTTTTCTGTTTGTTTCCCATGGTAACCATCGTAATGGGTGTGAGATGGTACCTCACTGGGGTTGGATTTGCGTTTCCCCGATGAGTCGAGATGTAGAACATCTTTCCATGTGCCTGTCAGCCATTTGTATGTTGTGTTTGGAGCAATATTTATTCAAGGTCTTCACCTATTTTTTAAAAAATCACGTCATTACTTCTATTCAACGTAGTGGTGGAAGTTCTAGTCAGAGCAGCTAGGGAAGAAAAAAGAAAGAAAAGTCATCCAACTCAGAAGGAAGAGGTAAGAGTATCTGTTTGCAGACGATGTGATCTTATGTGCAGAAAACCCTAAGGACTTCAGGAAATACCTTAGATCTAGTTAACAAAGTCACCGCGGTTACAGGATACGGAATCAACATACAAGCCTCGGTTGCATTTCTGTACACCAACGTCAAACTCTCTGAAAAGGAAATTAATGAAACAATCCCATTTACGGTAGCAGCAGAAGGGATAAAGTACCCAGTGACATTTCGCCATGTGTCCTGGGCCAGTTCTTAACCTCCCTGGACTTCAGTTTGCCCGAGCAGCCTGCAGGGTGATTGTGAAAGTTGCGGAGGCAGAGGAGGAGGTGCCGGGCTCGTGAGGCCCCTGGCTGAGAGCAGCTCCATAGAGGGCGCTGTGCTCACCCTGAGCCTTGGGCCGAGGGTGTCCAGGATGTGGGCCCAGCAGCCACCGCCGCTGATGAGCGGCTTCCTCCTGCCCAGCTGCTTGTCTCATGGTTGTAGGTGATTTACTCCGCTTTAATATTTGACAGAGCCTGCTTTGCATTTGGTGTCTATTAACCAGTTCTTTTCACGTGAGCCATTAACATTTAACTTCAAGTTAAGGAGGTTAGAAGGGTCCCAGGTCCCAGGTCCCCGGCCTTTTTAGCCTGGCCTTTTTTGCCTGGGCTCCGTACCTGCCGTTGGGGGCACCACTGTCACCCAGGGCATCTCCAGCCCTGAGCCCGCGGGCCTCCACATTTCAGAGGAAGGCTGGCACCAGATCACGACTCACCCTTGTGAGACGCAGAGCCTCGGACGCTGCTGGGCACCAGTCTGCAGCTCAGGGCTCCGGCCCGGACGTTAGCGCCTGGGGAGGTGGACAGCCAGGAAGGTGTGCAGGGGTCAGGTCCCAGCGCCCTCGCCCACTGTCCTGTCATCTGCGGGGAGCGCCTGCCTGGGGTGGCACAGCCGTCCGGGGAACTGATGCGCCCAAGGGCTACCTGGGGGGAGCCCCACACTTGCAGCCTCCCCAGGGCCCCGGCTGGGAAGGTGAGGCATCCTGCGACAGGAGCCCCTGGGCCACCAGCACCTGCACACTCAGGCTGCTGGTGGCGGGCGGCTCCCCGGGGACCTGGGATCTGACGAGGCTGGAGAGTGGCCTCGGGGTGTAAGGGCCGGTGGTTTTCAGGCTGCGGGCAGAGGTCCCTTTGAGGCTCTCGTGTGGGGGCACATGCGGGACTTTGGCCTCCTGGGACCCCGGCACGGTCTCCCCGTCGCTGGCGCCTGCTCTCCGAGGTCAGCGTCTCCCGGGCTGTCGCTGGTCATCGTGCAGCTGGGGGTCACATGTCCTCTCTTCTCCCGCAGCTTGGCCTTCCTCCTTTGAAGTTGTCCGAGCTCCATGCTGATCTGAAGATACAAGAACGGGACGAGTTCAGATGGAAGAAATTGAAGGCTGAAGGCCTGGATGAAGACGGAGAGAAAGAGGCAAAGCTCGCCCGCGGGCTCAGTGGTACGTCTCTTCTCAGTCCAGGGGCGGCGGTCGGCCAGGCTCGGGCCCCAGCTTCTTACTCTGACTTGGTTTGTGGGCAAGACGAGAGTCGGGGCTGTCCTCATGAGCCTGGCCCTGGCAAGGTGACCCTCAGCCGTGGGCAGGCACAGCTGCCGGGCTGTCCTGTGCGGGCTCTTGGCACGTGGGAGGGAGGGCCAGGGCGAGGACGTCTGGCCGCGTTAGTGCACAAGCAACCGGGGCTGCTTGGTCCAGGGAGGCGGCTGGGATGGCCAGATGCCCACCGTCACCTGGACGAGGAAGCGGGGATGTTCCCAGGGTCTGGCCGTGTGAAGAGCACTGCCCCCGCCCGTCCGAGCCTTGTGGCCCCTGTGGCCCACCCTGCATCTAGGGCTCCTGGTGCGTCCAGGTGGCCCGGGGCTGGGAGATGGAGGAGGGTGGGGGGCAGGGAGAGGCGGCCGGTGGTCAGCCCCCTGCCTGTGATGCCCGCACCGCAGGCTGGACACCAGGAACACACACTCTTCACAGCTTACTCAAGGCTTCCAGTGGGCTGAGCTTCTGGGCAGGGTGAGTTCTGAGGCACAGGCAGTGTAGACAGGGAAGTGAAGCCCCAGGAGGTGAGGTCAGGCTGAGCAGGGCGCTCCCTGGGCTGGCTCATCTGAGGGTGGGCCCCCGTGGGGACCACTTGTGTCCAGCGCTTGTCAGAGGAGGTGCTGGGGGTCAGGGGTCAGGTGGGCCACTGCTCGGATGAGGACCTCAGGGATGGAGCACGGGGGAAAGGGAAGCCCGGATCCAGAGAGGCCCAGGTGAGGCGTGGAGGGGACAGTGGGGACTGTCTGCAGATGGGACGAAAGACGCCCGGTCCTTCAGAGCAGGGAGGGTGGGGCAGGCCCACTCCCAACTCAGGAGGTAGGTGTGGGGCGTGAGGAGATGCTGGGAGGGGCGTCCTCCAGGGCAGACCCAGCAGCCCGGCCCCGCTGAGGAGCACTGCTTCCGGGTCCACTAGGCATCCGCCGCGTCACGTTGGTGATGATGGTGCTGAGACGCAGGCCCCCGTCTGGCGCAGAGGCTGTGGGCGGCGCTGTGTCCTGGGCGCTACTGACAGACGACACCTGGTCGCTGTCCCACGGTGACCGGCCAGCAGCAGGCTGGAGCCAGTGTCCCCTCGCGGCTACCGCTGTTAACTTTTCACTGGGAGCTGCCGACGCTGAGGTTTCTCCTTGTAGAAAATCTTTTCTGCAAATAAAAATATGACTTAGGCCGTGGCAGAGCTTCCCCTGGCCACCGCCCCGTCCATTCTGTGGACTGTCGTCCTCTCCCGCCCTCGCTGGAGTTCGCCCCACGACACAAACGGGCTTCAGGTTTTGGTTTTGCAAACCTGTGAAGCTGGTCCTAAAGGCCGTCCCGGGGATGCTGAGCCCGTCCTGCCGCACCGCGCTCTGCCCCGCAGCTCGGAACAGAGGGATCGGCCGGAAGCGCGCGGCGGGAGCCCGAGGCCACCAGTGTGCACGGGGGCGTTGCTGGAGGAGGATCCCCGGGTTTGTTCGCGCTCCTTCCGCTGGGTCCCGAGTGGGCAGGAGAGCTGGGCGGGCGGCGGAGGGGCGACCCCTAGACCGCGGCCTCGAGCCCCTCCCGCACCCTCCTAGTCATCCTGGCCAAGTACGGTCTGGACGGGAGGAAGGACGCCCGGGCCGTGAGCAGCAACTCCATCAACCACGGCCCCGCCGACCACAGCCTGGAGGACCCCCGGCTGGAGAAGCTGTGGCACAAGGTACCCTCGCGCTGCCGTCCGCCCTGGAGGCATCAGGCCTTGGCTTTTGGTTTCCTGCCCCTGCGTCCCCTAGCGAAGGGGGGTGAAGGCCGAGAGCTGGGCCTGAGTACCCCCGGGAGCAAGGGTCCTGCCTGGCCTGCGGGAGTGATCCACAGGGGCACCCGTGTAACTAACCCCAGGTGGCATGGCGGGCAGGGTGCACCGCGAGGCGTGGACAGGTGGGCTCGGCCTATGGGGGGACCCCGAGGTGTGGACAGGTGAGCACAGCCCATGGAGGTGTTCACTGGAGGTGGCTTTCCTTCCAGGCAAAGACCTCTGGAAAATTCTCCAGTGAAGAACTGGAGAAGCTGTGGCGGGAGCTCCAGCATCACAAAGAGAAGGTCCAGGAGTACAACGTCCTGCTGGAGACCCTGAGCAGGACCGAAGGTGCCCCCGCAGGCAGCCCTGGCTCCAGAGCGTTCCAGAACAGAGCTGCTGGGGGGTTGGGGGCAGTGCCATGCTGTCAGGCCTCCCTGCTTTCCGAGCAGGAATCTCGGCGTTTAGGAGCCCGTCGGGGTGCCCATGCATGTCTGTGAGCGTGGGTTCACATGAACCCGTTCTGCGGTGACACGGGCCACCTCTCCTGTCACCGCCGGCCTGACCTCAGGGGGACTTGTGGGGGGCTCGGGACCCGCCCTGAGAGAGTCAGCAGGGGTGGGGCTGCGGTGGCTCCACGACATCTAGACGAGCTTAGACGGAGCTCCACGGGCGGCTCAGGGCCGGGCCCTCACGGCCTCCTGCCTCTGGCTCCCGCAGAAATCCACGAAAATGTCATCAGCCCCGTTGACGTGAGCCGCGTCAAGGAGTACGCGCTGCAGATGGGCCACGCCGAGCTGAAGGACAAGCTGCGGGACATCAGCCAGGGCTTTGACCGCCTGCGGAGAGTCAGCCACCAGGGCTATGGCGACCAGGCCGGTGAGCCCCACGCCCTGTGCCCCGCTGCCCAGCGGCCTGGGTGACGGCAGCAGAGCCCCTCCAGCCCCTCCGCTCCCAGGGCCACACCTGGGCTGCTTTCTCCTGGAAGGTGCACGCACCTTTATTTCTAGCCTCACGGTGTCCTTTAACCCTCACGGTGGCCCCCCGCCCCGCGCATTGGGATGGCTGCTCTGCTCCTGTGCAGACAGCTCGCTGCTCAGGGGCCGAGGCTGGAGCTCCTCGCTGGGTGCCACCCCCTGGAGGATGGCCTGGGCCTCTGCACGCGTCTCCCGCGGGAGCCCACGGCTCACGCCTGGTGCAGGCTTGCCGGAAGTCGGCCAGGTGCTCTTTGTACCGTCTTCTGTCACCTGTCCGTTCCTTCTCCAGCCTGTTCCCTGAGCACTGGCCACATGGCAGGTGCTGCTGTTGACGCGGGGTGCGTGCAGTGGGGACGCGAGGTGGGCTCCCTGCTCCTCCGCCTGGCCTGGGTCCCCCAAGGCACGACTCTGCCCTGCTGGGCTCGCCCACCTGCCACGGTGAGGGGGCCAGACCACCATGTAGACCCGCTATGCTGATCTGCTCAACTGCCATGGAGCAGGGACCTCAAGGGCCTGGCCACGCAGAGGAGCAGGGCAACTGACGCTGTGCCTCGGCCCCTCCGCTCCCAGGGCTGCATCCAGCCGGCCCCTGCTGCTGGCCTGCCGAGTCCTGCCAGCAGCGCCCCAGGGCCCCGGGCAGCAGGGTGGGTCCACCGGTGGGGAGGTGGGACAGCTGGTGAGATGACCGCTGGGCGGGCCGCCGTGGCCACTTGCTCCCAGCCGCTTCCAGCCTTGGGAGGGAGGTGGGTGACAAGCCTGCACCGTCGCCACGTGCTCGCGGGAGTGGTGGCTGAAGTCACGGTGTCCCTTCCATTGGGTTTACTTTGCTTCAGAGCTACAGGGACAGGCAGCGCCTGAGCCTCAGCCCGGAACTGTGGGTAGGGGAACCCACAGTCTGAACCTCACCCCCCACCCCCTGAGCACTCCTGCTCGCCCGCGCAGCAGCGGCTTGACCAGGGGCTGGTGAGGGCATCGCCGAGGCCCCACCCAGCGGGTCCCCGGAACCGCAGACTGAACGTGTGTGGAAGGTGTGCTCGGTCGGCTTCCAGAGGACGCTTGCACTGTGCACAAGCACCGTGCGCTGTGCAGGTGGCCTGTGTGGCCCCACGCGTCCCGGGCTGCCGCCGTGCAGGTCACCGAGCCTGCCTTTGCTCCTTCACAGGGTTTGAGGAGCCTCGGGTGCTGGACCTGTGGGACATGGCGCAGTCAGCCAACTTCACCGAGAAGGAGCTGGAGGCCTTCCGGGTAGGGACGGCCCCTCAGCCACAGCGTGTGGCGGCATCTCTCCCAGCAGACTTTCTGATGATGTGGGGAAGGTCCTCTTTAGTCCTAGCAGATCAGCGTTTTCACAGGAACGTTCTCTCTCCTTTGCCGTCTGTGTCCCTCCGCTGCCCCAGTTGGCGGCCCGTGTGGGATGAAGCTGGCCTCCAGTGAACAGACAGTGTGGCTTCAGGGCATCTGCTTAGCTTTGGGTGCACTGGGCACGAGCTGGGGCTTGTGGAATGAGCGGATTGACAGGGATTTGGAGGGGGAGCCAGTAGGACCCTGCAGGGCCGCAGTGCTCGGCCCGGAGGGAGGAAGGGTCTTTGGGTCACCGGGGCACTGCCTCCAGGTGGGTTCTGCTGTGGCAAAGCTGCCACAGGGCAGGGAGTCAGGGATCAAGGAAGGGCACAGGCCCGTGGGTGTGAAGCTTCTGTCTCCTTGGACAGGAGGGCAGGGAGAGGGGAGCCTGCCCGGGGCCTGGGGAGTTAAGATCGCCGACACATTCAGCCGGCATCTTGACGTGGGCCTGGAGGCACCCTTGGGGGAGTGTAGGGGTCGGGCCTGGAGGCCCACCTGCGCTGGGGTGGGGGGAGCCTGGAAGCCTGGTGGGTGGAGAGGACGGGGGACAGTGCAGGGCTCAAACGCCACATGTCAGGCTGGATATGGGGTCAGGACCAGAGGGGACCAGATGCTTGGCAGGTGCCATTTACCTAGAGGGTGAGGGGTCACTGGGAGTGGGGAGGGAGCACATAGGGTTGCGACCCTTGGCCCCTGAAGGCCGTCAGGTTCTGGCGGGTCCCTTTAGAGAGAAGGGCTGCTCACCTGATTTCCACGTGTGCTGCGTGATGGCACGGCAGCCAGGAGGGTGGGGCCTGCCGTCCCGCTCGGCCCCCAGAGCTGCCCTGGGCGGGCTGCACGGGGACCGGGCGCAGGGTGTGCAGCCTTCAGAGCGGGGGAGCCCCGGCCCTGGCCTGCCTCCTTTGTGCCTTTTGCACAGGGATGTGTTATCTATTCAAAAATAAATGAAACTTAAGCGTGCAGCCACCTGCCCTGGGTGGTCTCCTGAAGCAGCCGTGGAATTCCATCGGGGACCCTAGGGTGGTAGTAAGAGCGTGTTGGGGTAATTCAGTTGTTTCAACATTATTCTAGGAAGAGCTTAAGCACTTTGAAGCCAAAATTGAAAAGCATAACCACTACAAGAAGCAGCTGGAAATTTCTCATCAGAAACTGAAACACGTGGAGAGCTTAGGAGACCAGGAGCACGTCGGCCGGAACAGGGGGCGGCACGCCGTGTTAGAGGAGAGGGCCAAGGAGCTGGGCTACAAGGTGGGTGCGCGGCCGCCGGCCAGGCCTCCGTGGGCGCGGGCACGTGACAGTCCCGTCAGCACCAGCGCGCCGGCCCCCCGGCCCTGGGCCTCGGCCCCCCACTGCGGCGGGGACGGGATTGTCTCGCCCTCGTGGGGCTTGGTGGGAGCAACCACACAGCTGCTCCTGCCAGGGTTCTGTGCAGCCCTGAAGGGGGTCAGCTGCAGGGGGTGGGGGGACAGGGACTGCCCAGGCCTCCCCACCCCCACCCGCCTCTGGGTCTGTTTAGGGCCGGGCTCTGAACCAGGTGAGCAGAGAAGAGGTGCACACGGGCGAGGCAGGCGGGCAGCCAGGGCTGGAGCCAGGCCCTTCCAGCCGCACCACTGGCATCGTGGCCCCCAAAATGTGTGGCCTGTCACTGGCTCTGAAGGTCCTGCACTCCCGCGAGCTGCCCACATGGCTGTGGAGACTCCTGAGGACGCGGGGGCCAGTGGTTTCCCAAGCGTTCAGCCTGGGGCGCAAGGAGACCATACTTGGCTCCAGAGTAGCGGCAGGGGTCCCATGCAGGGCGCTCCTCACGTGCGGCTCAGTGGGGCTTGCAAATACCCTAAATGGGGGCGCCGGCTCCATTATGGGATGACGTGTGAACGCCAGACACTGCTCAGGTGTGCAGGACATGGAGACTGAAGCACCAGCAGGGCGGCTGCCCGCCCTGCCCTGGTCACTCGTGGTGAACCCACAGATCCAGGCACTAAGACGTGAGGGCTCGTCTGCAGCAGAGCCTCTGGTTCAGGTTAAGAGAAAAGGAGGGGCGGGTGGTGTGGACCCTCCGCAGAGCCAGCAGCACGAGCATGGTACGTCACCACAGACGCCCAGGAAATTCAAAACAGAGGAGCTGGGCCCTGGAGGGAGCCTCCTTCGTGCCTTTTGTGCAGGGATGTGTTATCTATTCAAAAATAAGTGAAACTGGGCTTCCCTGGTGGCGCAGCGGTTGAGAGTCCGCCTGCCAATGCAGGGGACATGGGTTAGTGCCCCAGTCCGGGAAGATCCCACATGCCGTGGAGCAGCTGGGCCTGCGTGTCCAGAGCCTGTGCTCTGCAACGGGAGAGGCCACATCACTGAGAGGCCCACGTACCACAAAAAATAAATAATTAAAATAAACGAAACTTTAAAAGTGAAAGAAGACCAAAGTACCGAGAAGGAAGGGACCGTGTGGATTCTTTCCTGTGTTTGGCAGAGCCGAGCAGGGCAAAGCCAGGCACCCCTCGTGGGGCGTCCACCTGCAGATGACACCGTGGCGGACTGCACAGCGGGTATGAAGAGGGAACTGGGGCTCCTGGCTTCCCCAGCCGTGGAGAAGGGGCTCTGACGCGCTGTGAGCACTGGGGCTGCTGGAGGAGACCTCCCCAGGCTCCTGCCCGGCCCAGGCTCCTGCGCGGGAGGCCGGCAGCACCAGCCTTCGGGGCTCTGTGTGAACTAGGAACAGAAAGAGCAGAGCCCAGGCCCTCGGGCTGCCGCGGCAGCACCCGCCATCATGTGACGAGGACAAGCTGGCAGGAGCCGCGGACGAGTCGGGGTCTTCATTTGCTGCTTCTGAAATGATGTACCGTAGACAGCCCGCCACGACAGACAGGCCCCCCACAGCCCACGGGGTCACCCCCAGAGCATGAAGCTCTGGTGACGGGAGGGGACTGTGGTGCTGGGCCCTGTAGGGAGTCTCCTATGTGAACCCCGTACATGTCCTGCCGGCAGGAGCCTCGCCTCAGACCTAGAGGCATGCAGACTGAAAGTGAGCGGGTGGAAAAAGGTATTCCACACAAATGGAAATCAAAGCCGGGACAGCAGTACTCACACCAGACAAAATAGACTTGAAAACAAAGACTGTAACAGGAGACAAAGGTAGACATTACATAATGGGATCGATCCAAGAAGACGACGTAACAATTGTTTAAATGCACCCAACGTAGGAGCAACTGCGAACAGGCATAAAGGGAGAAATTGACAGTAACAATAATAGTGAGGGACTTTGCCACCCCCCTTACATCAATGGACAGATCATCCAGACAGAAGACCAGTAAGGAAACACAGGCCTTAAGCAACGCATTAGACCAGATGAACGCTATAGATATTTATAGACCATTCCATCCAAAAGCAGAATACGCGTCCTTCTCAAGTGCACACAGGACATTCTCCAGGACAGATCACATGCTGGGCCACAGAACAAGCCTCAGTAAATATAAGAAAATCATATCAAGCATTTTTTCCAACACAAGAGATTGCGACTAGAAATAAACTACAAGAAAAAAAAAACTCCAAAAGACACAAGCACATAGAGGCTAAACAGTATGCTACTAAACAATCAGTGGGTCGCTGAAGAAATGAAAGAAATTTTAAAATACCTGAAGACAAGCAAAAAGACAACTTTCCCAAACCTAGAGGACACAGCAAAAAAAGCGGGAAGTTTATTGCAATGCAGATCTACCTCGGGAAGTAAGAATCTCGAATAAACAACCTAACCTTACAGTTGAATTAGAAAAAGAACAGACAAAACCCAAAGTTAGTAGAAGGAAAGGAATCAGGAGGATCAGAACAGAAATAAAGACAAAAAAAAAAATAGAAAAGATCAATGAAATTAAGAGCTGTTTCTTTGGAAAGATAAACAAAACTGATAAACATTTATCCGGACTCATCAAGAAGCAAACGAGAATGGGCCCAAATCAATCATGAAAGCGGAAACGAGGACGAGGGGGTGGAGAGCGGAAGCCGCACTGTCCCTCGCTCTTCTGCTGCTTGCTGTTCCTGATGTGCCTTGGGGGCTGTTTGTGGCTAACGAGCTGCCTTTATGACTTATTTACGATCAGCTCTAGATGGGTGGGTACTTGGACAGCAGGATCACCCAGTTGAGAGTTCTCGGCGCAGGCTGCGTGTCTCGGGTCATGAGCAGATCTGCTAACTGGTTCGTTCACCTGTGCTGTCCCCGCAGGTAAAGAAGCATCTGCAGGACCTGTCCAGCCGCATCTCCAGGGCTCGCCACAACGAGCTCTGAGGCCCTGGAGTCTGGCCGGCGGCACAGAGGAGGCGCCAGCTGCCTGGGGCTCCTGAAGATGGGCCTGGGTGCTCAGGGGTGGCTTGTCACCAGCAGAACCTCAGGGTGGGCGTGAGGGGGACGGGCCACGAGGGGCCTGAGCAGGAGGGATAATGCCCCCGGCCGGGAGGAGGAACCCCATGATCCCGCCCCGCCCACCCCCGGCTGGCGGCCCCGTGCCCTCAGCACAGCCAGCCGTCACCTCTGTTGAGAATGCAGTTCCCAGCTGCCCGTGGAGTGGTGATCCCCTATGCTACAAGGTCACAGTTTGCATCAAAATCTTAAAAATCTGCCACTGGAAACTGTACAGAAGTCCTTACAAATACATTTTTGCACTATTTAATTAAACCTTGAGGTCACTGAGGCGCCACTGGGTCCCGTCTCACTGTGTCTCCTGGGCCAGGGGACTTCAGTCTCAGTTGAGCTGAGCGGCTCCAGGCCGCCGTGCCAGCTCCAAGGCCCTTCGTCCACCCCTTCCCCGCCAACCTCTGTGGCATGAGATGGAGGAGGGGCTGGTGGGCTTGGCTGGGCCCTCCCTCCCTGGTCTGGCACTGAAGTTATGGGGTAGAGACGGCAGGGCAGAGGGGACGGTGCCCTGGCCTCTGACCTGAGCTCCTGGCCCTGCAGGTCAGGGTTGGCAAGAGCCCGACAGCCCACGGGGCTCCACGTGCGGCGAGAGGGACCAGCTCAGGGTCAGGTCCACAGCACGCATGGTTCCAAGAGGATCCACCGGGTGCTGTGTTCCCATCTTGGCTACGTCTGATCTCAGCTTCAGCACTGGGACCTGCCAAGTGCAGATACCCGTTAGCTGTGCTTACAAGAAAAGCCAAGGGTAGCACACCAGGCCTATGTCAGGGCACCATGAACCCGAGTGGGGAGGTGGTCCCGTGACAGGCAGCTTGGGTGCAGCCTCGTTCCTCCGTGGGTCGCTTGGCCCGGCGCCAGGCCTGTCCAGCACAGGAGGTAACCCTAACCTGAGCCGTCATGGCATGTCTGCCACCGGCCCGACCGGCTGTTGTGTCCCTCAGCCCTGGCCAAGCTTCAGGCCGGGCTGGGGCAAATGCACTGAGACACCTGTCGGGCCCAAGGGAGGACTCGGTGCCGGGCTTCCAGGCTGCTCCTGGGAGCTCAGAGCTCTCAGCCACGCGCTCGGGCACCGGGTCCCCCGTGTGCACGCATGGCCCAGCCAGGCTCACGCTGGGGGCCGGTGCAAAGTTGGCCCAGGACATGGAGTCGAACGGGGTGACCCTTGACTCGGTTTACCCTCGTGGAGCTGACAGCCTAGAGGCAACTCCTGGCTTCAGACGTGTGTGAGAGAAACGGAGGGGCCTTTACTGTGGTTTGTCGTCGCTCTGGCCCTGGAGGAGATGGGTGAGGCGGAAGCCCCCCGATTCAGGGGCAGTGGCTGCACTGTTGATCGTAGCTTCTAAACGATCACTGAAGTAAAGGGTGTTCGTGTGAGGGCATAGACATGTGCCTGTGGCTCAGTGAGCTCTCCCACAAGTGCTGGGGCCCCACCCCTGCTCAAGAAGTGCAGGGCCCCGGGCTCCTGAGGACCCCCTTCCCCAGCAGTCCTCTTTCCTAGAGCTAACCACTTGCGCATGTTCCCAAATCTGTGTATTGGAAACTAATCCCCAAGGTGATGGTACCAGGAGGTGGGACCTTTGGGAGGTGATCAGGTCATGAGATTGGGGTCCTCGTGAACAGGATCAGTGCCCTTATAAGAGAGACCCCAGAGCTCCCTCGCCCCCTTCCACTGTGAGGACACAGAGAACCAAGAAGCTGGCCCTACCAGACACCAAGCCTCCGCAGCACGATCCTGGGCTTCTGAACTCCAGAACTGAAAGTAAACGGATGCTGTTTACGCCCAGACTATGGTTTTCTGTTACAGTGGTCCAGTGGACTAAGAAACCACTCTTAGTAAGGTTGGATTTCCCTGTTCAAACTTCATAAACATGCAGTTATAGTGGGGGGATGTGTCTGTGTCTGTCGGTGTGTGTGTGTTTGTGTGTGTGTGTGTGTGTGTGTGTGTGTGGTTTTTACTCCATTCTGCTGTTGCACACTTGAGTTGTTTTCACTTTTGTACGTAACATCAGTTAGAAATGACTGTGGCGAACATTCGTGGTGGGGTGGAGCCGCTGCCTCCCAAGCACCTCACTTTCCTCCCCTGGGTTTCTCTCAGGTGCTTTAACGAGGTCCCTGTTGATGGGCAGTTATTTCTAATGGGTTTTTTCAAGATAAGGTGTCCTCAACATAATAAAGCCCACAGCTAACATCATACTCAGCAGTGAAAAGCTGAAAGCTTTTGCTCTAAAATCAGGAACAAGACAAGGATACCCGCTCTCACCACTTCTATTCGACTTAGTATTGGCAGTCGTAGCCACAGCAATTCGGCAACAAAAAGAAATAAAAGGCATCCAAATTGGAAAGGAAAAAGTAGAACTCACTTCTTGCAGATGACATGAAATTATACATAGAAAAAACTAAAGACTACATCCAAAAACTCTTAGAACTGATCAACGAATTCAGTAAAGTTGCAGGGTACAAAATTAATATACAGAAATCTGTTGTGTTTCTATATACAGTGAAAGTAAACTACCAGAAAGAGAAATGAAGAAAACGGTCCCATTTATAATTGTATCAAAGAGAATAAAATACCTAGGAATAAGTTTAACCAAGGAGGTGAAAGTCCTGTACACTGAAAACTGTAAGACATTGATGAAAGAAACTGAGAAAGACACAAATAAATGGAAAGATATTCCATGCTCATGGATTGGAAGAATTAATATTGTTTAAATGCCCATACTACCCAAAGCAATCTATAGATTCAGTGCAGTCCTCTAAAAATTCCAATGACATTTTTCACAGAAACAGAACAAACAATCCTAAACTCTTTATGGAACCACAAAAGACCCCAAATTGCCAAGTCAATCTTGAGAAAGACAAAGCTGGAGGCTTCATGTGCTGTGATTTCAAACTATATTACAAGCCTATAGTAATCAAAACAATATGGTATTGGCATAAAACAGACACATAGATCAATGGAACAGAATAGACCAGAAATAAACCCACAATTATGTGGTCAGTTAATTTACAACAGAGGAGCCAAGAATATACAATGGGGAAAGGACAGTCTCTTCAATAAATGGTGTTGGGAAAACTGGACCACTGTCTTACACCATGTACAAAATTTAACTCAAAATGGATTAAGAAATGTTCAGACTTGAAACCATAAAACTCCTAAAAGAAAACAGTAAGCTCCCTGACATTGGTCTTGGCGATGATTTTTTGGATCTGACACCAAAAGCAAAGGCAACAAAAGCAAAAATAAATAAGTGGAACTACATCAAACTAAAAAGCTTCTGCACAGCAAAGGAGACCATCAACAAAATGAAAAGGGAGCCTACGGAATGGGAGAAAATATTTGTGAACCACATATCCGATAAGGAGTTAATGTCCAAAATATATAAAGAATGCATATAACTCAGTAGCAAAAAACCAAACAATCCAGTTACAAGTGGGCAGAAGACCTGAATAGACATTTTCCCAAAAAAGACATACAAATGGCCCACAGATACATGAAAAGGTGCTCAACATCACTAATCATTAAGTTTTGTTTTTTGGTTTTTGTGGGTTTTCCTATTTTTGGTCACACCTTGAGGTATGCAGGATCTTAGTTCCCTGACCAGGGATTGAACCCGTGCCCCCTGCAGTGGAAGCGCAGAGTCCTAAACACTGGACCACCAGGGAATTCCATCGTCACTAGTCATTAGGGAAATGCAAATCAAGACCACAGAGAGATATCACCTCACACATATTAGAATGACTATTATCAGAAAGACAACAGATAACAAATGTTGACTAGGATGTGGAGAAAGGGAACCCTTGTGCACTGTTGGTGGGAATGTAAATGGGTGCAGCCTCTGGAAAACTGTGGAGATTCCTCAAAAAATTAAAAGTAGAACTACCATACGATCCAGCAGTTCCACTTCTGGGTATTTATCTGAGGGAAATGAAAACACTAATTCAAAAAGATATCTGCACCCCTGTGTTCATCCCAGCATTATCTACAACTGCCAAGATATAGAAGCAACTGAAGCGCCCATCGATGGATGAATGGATAGAAGATGTGGTACATACATACAATGGAGTGTTACTCAGCCATTCAAAAAATGGAACCCTGCCATTTGTGACAACATGGATGTACCTAGAGGGCATTGTGCTAAGTGAAGTAAGACAGACAGAAAGACGAATATACGATCTCACGTGTATGTGGAATCTTAAAAAAAAAAAAACAACAACTGATACAGAGAACAGATGTGTGGCTGCCGTAGGGAGTGGATGATGCGACGAAGGGGGTCAAAAGGCACAAACTGCCGATTATAAACTAAGTCACGGGATGTAATGCACAGCACGGCAACTCCAGTTAACAATGCTGTGGTGTGTATTGACAGCTGATGGAATGTCGGTTTTCAGAGTTCTCATCACATTCCATAACTCTGTGAGGTGCTGGATGTTAAGTAGACTTACTGTGGCGATCGTTTCACAATATATACAAATATAGAATCGTTACGCTGTACACCTAAAACTAATATAATTTGTCAATTAAACCTCAACAAAACAGTAATAAGGTGTTCTGTCTGACACCGATATTCCAGAATTAAGACGCTAAACCCAGCACAGCACTGGAGGCCCCCCAGCCTCCAGGGCACCTCTCTGCTGGACCTGTGTCCAGCGCCCTGCACAGTCTCCCTTAGGCCAGCTCAGGCCTGAGGAGGGTCCAGCCTGGGGACCTCGGGGCACAGGGCATGACAGGACATGAGGGGAGTGGGAAGGGCAGTGATGGGGGTGCTGGGCTAGGGATGCCCCTTCCCTCTCAGCAAAGGTGGGGAGCCCTTCCCAGACTTGAGTTGGGGTCCAGGGTCCCTGAGACCTTCCACGACCACACAGTGGCCCATAGG